ATAAAATACTTAAAAAATAAATTTAACAAAAAAAAGTCCAAAACTTATTCTCTGAAAACTACAAAACGTTGTTGAAAGAAATTAAAGAAGATCTAAATAAATGGAGGGACATCCCATGTTCACAGAATGGAAGACTTAATATTGTTAAAATGGCAGTATTCCCCAAATCAATCTACAGATTCAACACACTCCCTATCATAGTCCCTGCTGGATTTTTCATGGAAATGGGCCAGCTAGTCCTAAAATTCATATGGGAATTCAAGGGACACAGAATAGGCAAAATAGTCTTGAAAGAGAAGAAAAAATTCCTAATTTCAAAACTTAACACAAAGCTCCAGTAAACAGTACAGTGTGCTACTGGTATAAGGATAGAAATCTAGATCAGTGGAATAAATTGCCAGTCCAGAAGTAAACCCATGTGCCAAGGATGCCAAGATGTCTAAGGTGCCAAGATGCTTTAATGAGGAAAATAGTCTTCAGCAAATGGTGCTGGAGCAACTGCATACCCACGTGCAAAAGATTGAAGTTGGACCCCTTCTTCACATTGTATACAAAAATTAACTCCAAAAGGATCATATATCTAAATGTAAGAGCTAAAACTATAAAAACTCTTAGAAGAAAACAGGAGTAAATCTTCATGACCTTAGATTAGGCAAATGATTCCTTATAAAAGACACAAAAAGCAGAAGCAACAAAAGAAAAAGTAAATTAGATTCATCAAAATTAAAAACTTTAATGCCACAATTAAGAAAATAAAAAGGCAACCCACAAAATGGGAGAAAATATTTGCAAACCGTAGATATCTGATGAGACTTATATCCAGAATACATAAAGAATTCCTATAACTCAATAATAAAAAGCAAATAACCCAATTAAAAATGGACCAAAAGGGGCGCCTGGGTGGCTCAGTCAGTTAAGCGTCTGCCTTTGGCTCAGGTCATGATCCCAGGTCCTGGGATCAAGCGCCGTGTGGGGCTCCCTGCTCAGCAGGGAGTCTGCTTCTCTCCCTCCCTCTCCCCACCCTGTGCTTGTGCTCGCTCACTCTCTCTCTGTCTCTCTCAAATAAAATCTAAAAAAAAAAGAAAGAAATAGTTTACAAAAAAGAACGGACAAATGATCTGAATAGACAAATGTCCAAAGAAGATATACAAATGGTCAGTAAGCACATGAAAAGATACTTAACATCATTAACTATCAGGAAAATGTAAATGAAATCCATAATGAGATACCGCTTCACACCCACTACAATCAAAAGGACAAGTGTTGGGAGGATGTGGAGAAACTGGAACCCTCATACATGGTTGGTGGGATTTTTTTAAAATGGTACAGCTGCGGGGCGCCTGGGTGGCTCAGTTGGTTAGGCGACTGCCTTC